CACCATGGAGCTGATTCTCCAGAAAAGGGGCTACAAAGCTTACAAGACTACGCATAAGGAGGTTAATGAGGGGAACTCAAGTCAAATAACAGTGGCTACTATGGTAAGAAGGCTCCCCGAAGGCTCTGCTTCTGATGTATACTATAATAGATGTATTTCAGACGTCCTCATTTACAGTTACCAGAGCAGTAGATAACCTGCTTTCATTAAGTTTTCCTGCAAGTGGCTTTTATAGCTTTGCTTAAGAAATTCCTTCACATTTCAAAATTTATTTATTATTTATATCATTTATTTATTTTTTTGGCCATACTGGGAGACTCGCAGGGTCTTAGTTCCCCCACAAGGGATTGAACCTGGGCCGTGGTAGTGAAAGTGTCATTAGGAGTCCTAACCACTGGACTGCCAGGAAATTTCCATTATTTACTATTTTTTTAAGTTGAATGGCTCAGATGGTAAAGAAACTGCCTGGAATGCTGTAGAACCAGGTTCAGTCCCTGGGTGGGAAGATCCCCTGGCGAATAGAATGGCAACCACTCTGTAGTGTTCTTGCCTGGAGGAATCCTTGGACAGAGGCGCCTGGTTGATGACATCATGGGGTTGCAGAGTCAGACACGGCTGAACCACTAACACTTTTTTTTCATAGTTGATTTACAGTGTTGTGTTAGTTTCTGGTGTGCAAATGATTCAGTTTTATATGTTTTATATTCTTTTTCATATGCCTTTCCATTATGGTTTATTACAGGGTATTGAATATAATTTTCTGTACCATACAGTAGGACCTTGTTGTTTATCTGTTTTATGTAATACTAGCTTGTAGTCCAAGGTTTTTTCAAATTTAAAATTGTGTTCATAAATTAATGTTAATCCTTTTTAACCATTGCCCAGCTCAGCTCTGATTTGAGAATGTTCTTTCAGATTCTACAGTAAAACTTTCAACTTAAAAATACACATTTGTTATCTGTGGCATTCTGAGGCTTTTGAGTAACGTAGGAGACTAACAGATAATATATTTCAGCTTAAAATACATCTTAGTCAGTCATTAAATTACCAATTACTTTGGAATAAGTTTTAGTGTTGCTGTTTTGATGTCAATAGTAGAATGACCATGCTCTTCATAAGGATCTACTATATGGTTTGGCCATGTCTGTGTGGGGCTGTTGGCTTGGGGAATGCTGGTCTTGACATCCCTAGGCATAGAGAGCATGGTAGGTGACTTGTCATTTAAGTTTGGGGCTGGGTGGACTACTCATATATAAATGTTAGGCTATAGATGGCATTTTAAGATGCTGTGGGATGTTTATGTTTCATTCTTTTGGATTTTGAGGGATTTTTGAAATGGTGCTTTTCAGATTTTAAATGGTATTTTTATGCTGCAAAAGATGCCAGTAAATGAATTGATATACACTGCAATATAGGTAGTAAGTTTTTGAGATGAGAGTAACTGGGGGAAGGAATGGTTGTGATAATATATTTTGTTTTTCTTGGATGGACAAACAGGTGAAAAGAGCTTGTGCAGCCATGGAGTCACCTGTTATCAGTTGGTGAGCTTCTGGCGGGGCTAAACCAGCGCCCTGAGGTGGAGGTCCTGCCTCCAGGTTCCCCAGTGGTCCTCTAAAGCCTCCGCCAGTCATTGTATTTTGTGGATTGCTTTCTCCAAGGTTGGGAGAAAAAGATTGGTTTCACACAATATTGAAGATCGAACAGTGGTTTAATACTTACATTGGGCACAGTACTTGGTGTTCAGATCAGTCAAGGATTTTGGTTGGGTGCAATGCAGAAAGGATGTAGGAGCTCACAGAATTGCTGAAAGGTCAGAGGACCAGGGAGGATACAGGCGGGAACGTCCGAATGACTGGGGGACTGGGCAGCGGGCTCCATAGCAGAAGCCAGGGCCCGGGAACCACCTGGTCTTCATGCTGCTGTCTGTCGTCATGTCCCGGGACTCCTGGTCATAGAAGGATGTGATTGGCTGTGCATAAGCCATGTTCAGGTGTTCCAGGTCGCTCAGTGGGTGAAGAGTCTGCCTGCAGTGCAGGAGATGGAGGAAACTCGTTGGATCCCTGGATCAGGAAGCTCCTCTGGAGGAGGGCATAGCATTCCACTCCAGTATTCTTGCCTGGAGAATCTCACGGACAGGGGAGGCTGGCAGGCTGCAGTTAAATAACCAGCGCTGAATCAGCTCTCGTGGCTGGGAGATGGAAATGTGTTCCTTGTCACAGTCTAGATCACATGCTCTATTCCTGGACATGAGATAAAAGTGGCTTCCTTGGAACAACGTGCGTTCCCCCAGGGGGCTCTTGGGAAGGGTGCAGGTGATGAACGTGTATGCATCAAACACAAAGTGTCCTCCGTGCTCTCCATGTGTTCCCATGTGGATTCTTTTGATAGTTTATGGAAACCTTGAGTTAGCAAGTGATTCTGAAATTTGTTCCTATAGTCAGTGTTGCTCTTTCAGAGAAGAAACAAATCAGTTTCTTTTGGCTGAACGAAATATCTGGGCTAATTTTGTTGAGATGTCAGAGTGACCCAACCAGGCCTGGAGAGGGTAGTTTGAAGATAGGAAGTATCTCTGTGCCATTTTATCATAGTACCAGTTTCACCAGAATGAGAATGCGGGGGAGGGTATCAACTGTTTGCTCCCCCAGAGAACCTACATGCTAAAAAAAAAAATACTGGTATGAAACAAAACTGTGCTGGCTGGACCAAGTGGATGTTGGTATCACCTTTTCAGTTGGTTTACTTTATTGTGGTATTTTGATTTGCGAAAGTTGTGTTTTCAGAGTTTTCCCCCTTTACCCACTGCCTATAGCAGCATTTGTTTTGCCCTTTTCTGCCCTTGCCCTTTGGATTGATTATAAAGTTGGGAAAGAAGTGTAAAAATTAGAACCCATGCTCCCACTTGAAACTCATATTTGAAAGATGGTGAAGCAGGTTTAATTACAGAGAAGCATTGGCTGCTTAATTACCTTACTGTTACTTGCCTTGAAACTGTTGTCTTTCTGTAGCTGTTTCCATAAATAGACTTTATATACAGGAATCTACCCTGGGGCAAAGAGTTCCCATTCGGCCTCTTCACTTAATTCAAATTGCTGGGTTGAGGTGGTTATTTTGAAACTCTTCTCAGGTTGACTTCCCCCTTAATCCCTAAGCCTTCTTCCCTCATCTGCCAAATTACATGTAATGTATCGCTGCTAGATTGCTTTTGGCATTTCTCAAGTCTGAGAACTTGAAATTTGATTGAAATGTTAATTTATTGCGACAGAGTTTGGGCACTCAGGTTCCTATTTCTGAACAAGTCTCGGAGGACCTGGTGTGGGCCCAGCCCTCTCTCTGGCTTCTGTGCATCTCTGGAGCATGGCAGGTCCCCACCTCCACCTGGTTGATTTTGAAACAGCCTGGCCTAGTTCAAGGTATGTGAAACCATTCTTGGTGCGACCGTTGTTGGGCTTTAGCAATATCTGGGGCTGTTTATTCCAGGTATAGTTGGCATGATATTGAAAAAGATTAACAAAGACGTTAACTTTGGTTTTCTTCTTTCGATTATTTAATAGTTCCTCATTGGTTGCTTTTGTTTATCGGAGAGCCTTGCTGCTGGTTCTTAGTCTCTCTTTTTTGGCTTTTCAGTACACACTTAAAATTTTTTTTTTAATGTTGTTATTGTTCAGTCACTCCGTCATGTCTGGCTCTTTGCAATCCCATGGACTGCAGCACGCCAGGCTTCCCTGTCCTTCATCATCTCCTGGAGCTTGCTCAAACTTAAGTCCATCGAGTCAGTGATGCCACCCAACCACCTCGTCCTCTGTCGTCCCCTTCTCCTCCTGGCTTCAATCTTTCCCAGCATCAGGGTCTTTTCCAACGAGTCAGCTCTTCGTATCAGGTGGTCAAAGTAGTGGAGCTTTAGTCTTCAGCATCAGTCCTTCCAATGACTATTCAGAGTTGATTTCCTTTAGGATTAACTGGTTTGATCTCCTTATTGTCCAAGGGACTCTCAAGAGTCTTCTCCAATGCCACAGTTCAAAAGCATCAATTCTTCGGCGCTCAGCCTTCTTTACAGTCTAACACTCACATCCATACCTGACTATTGGAAAAAACCAAAGCTTTGACTAGATGGACCTTTGTTGGCAAAGTAAGGTCTCTTTGCTCTTCTAGGAGTGTGTCTGTTGGAATGAGCATTAAGAATACTGAGGTCACTCTTGGCAGGTTATATTATATAGGCAACCTCTGGTTTTCAAGTGGGATGTATTCTTTTGTATATCAGTCAGTGTTGACTCCTGGAATGAAGTTTCTCCCCATAGGTATAGTATTATAAATGGTGATTTTGTACTTTTAATGCATAAATGTGACACAGTCCTAACTAACCATAAGCAAAATCTCTTAACCTTTCTGAGCTTCCTTATCTTAAAATGGGTCTAATGATAACAGTTTACCTCGTAGAATGGTGAGGATTCAATTAATTGATGCACAGAAAGTTCTTGAGATAGCATCTGGTATATAGCAATTACTCATCATTTTAAACAAATTTTTTGGGGAAATGGCATTTTGCCTTTCATCATGGAACACTGGGTGATACCATTTGGGGCAGCAAGTTTCTGTGGGTTCAGGTCTGACATTGGTGGGCAAGGGCTGGTGGAAAGGGGTGGGTTGGGTTCTCCTGCTAGTGTTTTGCAACTTCTGGTTGGGGAGAGGCGGTGATCTAAAAAGAAGGAAACGGCAATCTTGGCTACATGGTGGCTCTTTCAGTAGATGGACTTTGCTTGGGAAGGTGGTGACTGGGACTTCCAGCAGCTTGGCAGTGACTGCAGCCCTCCCCCAAGCACCCCCGCACCCCCCAGTCTTCTGACGGAGGCTGTAGGGAGGGAGAGGTTACAACAATGGTGAGGCAAGTGAGGACTGTTTGGAGCTAGCAGTGTTTCATTTCTTCGTTGGTACCAAGAACCCATCTGAACCAGTCTTGCTCATTTAAATTGTTCCTTTCTCTCTCTTTCCTACAGCAAGAGACTATGGCCAAGATGGAGGTGAAAACATCACTGCTGGACAATATGATTGGAGTTGGAGATATGGTTCTTTTAGAACCTCTCAATGAGGACACTGTCATCAACAACCTCAAGAAGCGCTTTGACCACAATGAGATATATGTGAGTGTGCATGGAAGGTCATCTGGGGGGTTTAGACTTTGCATTTTATGGTGCAGAGTGGGCTTCGCTTCCTCAGACTCTTCTTTTTTCTGTGTGTTTATTGGAGTTGATACCCTCAGGAAGAATTTTGTGTTTGCTCACTTGGTGTGTGAGTAATGTTGATGAGAGTTGCCTGAGTCTCTTCCCACACATGGTGTCTGCTGACCGGATGGAGTGTTGCGCTGGATGTTGAGGGTATTCAGAATCAAGTGGAAGACTCCGTTCTGCCCTTTGAGGGACATAAGCTCAGGAGGAAGTTTGAAATCGAGAAGTGTCTTCTTAGATACTACATAACATTAGTAGTCTAACCTTTGAGAAACCACTTATTGAAATGCAAGGCAGTCAACTGTCAAAAGAGAGAGAAACCTTCTTGACATTTGTAGTTAGTAGAGACAGGAGCAAATTACCAGCTGCAAATATGTGTTTGGTCCCTGGAGATTTGGGAATAGTCATGTTCTGCTATACAAAAGTATCATGTCAGGCACAAGAATGAAAACAGAAATATATACAGTGATAGAAATTTTTTGTTGTAAAAATTCTCTATGAAGACTTTCACAGTGTTACACTGTTGAGTTTTTAAAATATATTTAAAATATGAATGACAAATGCTTTTATGTGCAGCTTTCTGGGAATTTGCAGAAAGCATAGAAATTTGCATCTGCTCAGATAAGAGACATGGTGTTAACGAAACCGAGGAAATGGGACAGTGCTGCCCTGTACCAGCAGCTGAGAAGGAAACCAGTGGATTGGGTAGAAGTACTTTTGGTAGATCCCACATCACCTTTGAGTTGTTTCTTCCACTTTATAGTGTATCTGTGTCTAGATATGAATTGGTTTATTGAGACATGCTTCATGTTTTCCTATTAGTGTGGAAACAATAGGAAGAAATATAACTAAATAAAAAGAAGAGAACATAACTGATTTGTAACTTTTATGGAACTAATATATTTTAAAAATCATATGCAAAGCTATATTTTATGTCACATATAGTTTTCCTTTTCAGGTAGGCAGTCATGTTTCAAGGATAACTTTGGATAATTAATTTCTTAATGAAATAGGAGTCACCATCTGGGAATTGAACTTTTCATCTTTATTGATTTGATTGTTAGAGATAGGGGGAGGTTGACAGTAACAACAATGAGATATGTGGGTACCGCTTTGGAATATTAATTGGGTAAGTGGCTACTAACCTGAGTTCAGAGATGCAGTTATGTAAACCGCGGGTTCAGGTGGACGAGGCATAAAACGCTGTTGCTGTGGAACAGGGGAGGTGTGCTCTGGTTGGGCACTGAGGCCCCGGTCACCTTTCCTCAGTCTATAGCAGTTCAGCTTTCAGGTGGGAAAACTTGAACGGTTCTGCAGCTTTAATTGAAAGTATGGTCTGATAGCAAATAAAAGACAGACTTTACACATTGGTCTTTCAGATGGAGATAGGAGAAATCAGTTATATCCCAACCTACGGCGGCTGATCATTTTTCTTTTTGGCTCTGAGAAGCAGAATTGCCTTTCAGATGAATTGAGAATAGGATGGAGAGTAGAACATTACATGCATTCAAATACCTGATTTGTTGTGCCCACTAAAAATAAAACAATCTTCTTTTAAACAAAATGCCAAGTGTTAACATTCATGAGTTTTAGCAGACGAAATGTCTGGGTTTCAGCCTTACATACTTTTATTTTCTGACATATTTTAGGAATGTTCTTTCTGGTATAAAACAAAAGTAGAAAATTTCTTTCTGCTTCCAGATATTCATATAATTAATGTTTTCCATGATACTTTGGACCTATCATTTCCATGATGTTTGTGCCTTCATTCTGTAACTTTAAACACACATCATATTGGAGGCTTAGGCATTCTCTATTTTAAGCAAATAAGAAAACAAATGGCTTATAGGGTAATGTGTGTTGTATGACTTTTTTTTAAGATGGGGGGTATATGATATGTACATATGTTTGTATATTTGTATGAATAAAAAGAAAGGCATGCTAACTTTCAGTTCAGTTCAGTTGCTCAATCATGTCGGACTTTGGGATCCCCATGCGCTGCAGCACGCCAGGTTTCCCTGTCCATTACCAACTCCAGGAGCCTACTAACTCATGCCCATTGCATTGGTGATGCCATCCAATCATCTCACCCTCTGTCATCCCCTTCTCCTCCTGCCCTCAATCTTTCCCAGAATCAGGGCCTTTTCCAGTGAGTCAGTTCTTCACATCAGGTGGCCAAAGTATTGGAGTTTCAGCTTCAGCATCAGTCCTTCTAATGAATATTCAGGACTGATTTCCTTTAGGATGGACTGGTTGGATCTCCTGCAGTCCAAGGGACTCTCAAGAGTCTTCTCCAGCAGCATAGTTCAAAACATCATTTCTTCGATGCTCAGCTTTCTTTATAGTCCAACTCTCACATCCCTACATGACTACTGGAAAAACCATACCTTTGACTAGACAGACCTTTGTTGGTACAGTAATATCTCTGCTTTTTAATATGCTGTCTATGTTGGTCATAGCTTTTCTTGCAAGGAGTAAGTGTCTTTTAATTTCATGGCTGCAGTCACCATCTGCAGTGATTTTGGAGCCCAAAAAAGTAAAGTCTGCTACTGTTTCCACTTTTTACCCATCTATTTGCCGTGAAGTGATGGGATCAGATGCCATAATCTTAGTTTTCTGAATGTTGAGCTTTAAGCCAGTGTATTCACTCTCCTCTTTCACTTTCATCAAGAGGTTCTTTAATTCTTCACTTTCTGCCATAAGGGTGGTGTCGTCTGCATATCTGAAGTTATTGATATTTCTCATGGCAATCTTAATTACAGCTTGCGCTTCATCCAGTTCAGCATTTCTCATGATGTACTCTGCATATAAGTTAAATAAACATGGTGACAAGAGATACGAAGGGAACATTTCATGCAAAGATGGGCACACTTAAGGACACAAATGGTATGGACCTAACAGAAGCAGAAGATATTAAGAAGAGGTGGCAAGAATACACAGAAGAACTATACAAAAAAGATCTTCATGACCCAGATAGTCATGATGGTGTGATCACTCACCTAGAGCCAGACATCCTGGAATGTGAAGTCAAGTGGGCCTTAGAAAGCATCACTATGAACAAAGCTAGTGGAGGTGATGGAATTCCAGTTGAGCTATTTCAAATCCTGAAGGACGATGCTGTGAAAGTGCTGCACTCAATATGCCAGCAAATTTGGAAGACTCAGCAGTGGCCACAGGACTGGAAAAGGTCAGGTTTCATTCCAATCCCAAAGAAAGGCAATGCCAAAGAATGTTCAAACTACCTTACAATTGCACTCATCTCACATGCTAGTAAAGTAATGCTCAAAATTCTCCAAACCAGGCTTTAGCAGTATGTGAACCGTGAACATCCAGATGTTCAAGCTGGTTTTAGGAAAGGCAGAGGAACCAAAGATCAAATTGCCAATATCCGCTGGATCATCGAAAAAGCAAGAGTTCCAGAAAAACATCTATTTCTACTTTATTGACTATGCCAAAGCCTTTAACTGTGTGGATCACAATAAAGTGTGGAAAATTATGAAAGAGATGGGAATACCAGACCACCTGACCTGCCTCTTGAGAAACCTATGTGTAGGTCAGAAAACAACAGTTAGAACTGGACATGAAGCAACAGACTGGTTCCAAATAGGAAAAGGAGTACATCAAGGCTGTGTATTGTCATCGTGCTTATTTAACTTATATGCAGAGTACACCATGAGACACGCTGGGCTGGAAGAAGCACAAGCTGGAATCAAGATTGCTGAGAGGAATATCAATAACCTCAGATATGCAGATGACACCACCCTTATGGCAGAAAGTGAAGAGGAACTAAAAAGCCTCTTGATGAAGGTGAAAGAGGAGAGTAAAAAAGTTGGCTTAAAACTCAGCATTCAGAAAACTAAGATCATGGCATCTGGTCCCGTCACTTCATGGCAAATAGATGGGGAAAGAGTGGAAACAGTGTCAGACTTTATTTTTCTGGGCTCCAAAATCACTGCAGATGGTGACTGCAGCCATGAAGTTAAAAGACGATTACTCCTTGGAAGGAAAGTTGTGAGCAACCTAGACAGCATATTAAAAAGCAGAGACATTACTTTGCCAACAAAGGTCCGTCTAGTCAAGGCTTTGGTTTTTCCAGTGGTCATGTACGGATGTGAGAGTTGGACTGTGAAGATAGCTGAGCGCCAAAGAATTGATGCTTTTGAACTGTGGTGTTGAAGACTCTTGAGAGTCCCTTGGACTGCAAGGAGGTCCAACCAGTCCATCCTAAAAGAGATCAGTCCTGGGTGTTCACTGGAAGGACTGATGCTGAAGCTGAAACTCCAATACTTTGGCCACCTCATGCGAAGAGTTGGCTCATTGGAAAAGACCCTGATGCTGGATTGGGGGCAGGAGGAGAAGGGGACGACAGAGGATGTGATGGTTGGATGGCATCACCAACTCAATGGGCATGAGTTTGGGTAAACTCCAGGAGTTCGTGATGGACAGGGATGCCTGTCATGCTGGGATTCATGGGGTCGTAAAGAGTCGGACACGATTGAGTGACTGAACTGAACTGAAGTGACGTATTCCTCTCCCTATTTGGAACCAGTCTGTTGTTCCATGTCCAGTTCTAACTGTTGCTTCTTGACCTGCATAGAGATTTCTTTGTATATTTGTATGAATAAAGAGAAAGGCAGGCTAACTTTAGAACCATGCTAACTTTAGTGTGGGTGGGTTTAGGCATGCTGAATTTAGTTGGGGGAGGGGATGGGGTACCGGGGCAGGGAACAGTTATTACTTTTTTATAGTCATGTATTATAAAATTTGTTAAGTCAAGCATGTTTTCTTTTTGTAATTAACAAAAAATACGGGACAATAAATTTGATTATCTCACCTCTGTAACCCCACAAATTGTATATACCACCCTTGGGAAATCTGTTGCTTGGTCTTTATTCTGATAATATTTCTGCTTTGCT